CATTGATAGAAACTCTCCAAATTCCAGAAAGGCCCAGTCAGGTGTTCACAATGCTGTCTTGCTCAAGAACTTCATGGGAGAGTTCAGCTGGCTAAGGATAGTGTTAATAGCACATTCATGTTGATCCCTTGCTGCTTTTGTGAAACTAATGATGTTTATCAGGTGCCAACTCCCCCTCACCTCACCCATGCGTCTTTCCATTTTGTAGATAAAATAGTCTCTTTTCCAACCTCATTCAGATACAAGCACCATATTTCATTGCAGTTTTCCTTTTTCCTTCCTTCCAGGGAGGCTTCCTAGCAAGACAGCACACTTCCATACATGTTCCGCCCACAATAATAAAATACTTGTGTGGGGTAATGGATGAGAAAAGTAGGCGTCTTTATTTTCAGAAACTGTCCTGATTTGTGGAGGGAAGCGTCTGTCTGGCTTTTAATGTATTGCCACCTGTGCTTGTTTTCACCTCAGGGAGTTGGTGTTTCCAGCCTTGTTCCTCCACTTTGTGACGGGTTGAATGCAGCTGTGCCACGTTCTGGCCCCACATACGTATAGGGGATTCTGTTGCGTGGGCTGAGGTGTTGGTGGCTTGTAGCATTAATCTTGACAGCATTAGTTCACTGCGTGATTAATCACAAAATGCTGCTCTTGGTGGCAGTGGTGGCCCTAAGTGCTGTTCTATGGACCTTGGAGGCTAGTTGCTCTAATTAGGACCAGGCCTAGTATACACAAATGCACTAGACTTCTTGGGCATGCACTTTGTTGGGGAGGCGATTTACTACCATAGGGAACTAATGGCAAGGCATTAAAGTTGAGCACAATTGTCATAAACCTCTACTACTAGATGCTCTTGTAATGGGTTAGCATTTGCCCCAAAGCTCCTGTGCTGAATCTGTGCCTCCCTTTTGGGCGAGTATGAACTTCACAGGTTTGTCTTGAAAGTATTGGTTCTTTCATCAAGGAGCTGCTGATGGAACCCCCTCTCGTGCCAGCAGGTATTTGCAGTTGACTCAGTGCTGAATGTTCTGAAGGGCAGGTGGGGGAGCAACCGTTGTGCATTGACCAATTTAGAAATTAGTATTAGATATTGCCTCTGTAATGAGAGGCATTTTCACAGGGAAAAGAGCGATGCCACTTCCCCAACGTTATCTTTGATTCCCAGAATTTAAGGGAACGGGTTTGCTTTCTGTTGAGCTTAGCTTTTGAAGTCTTCAGAATGGTTTTGAGGCATCACAATTTTGGTATTGTTTTGGTTAAACAGGATCTTTCAATATTGTTTTGAAGTTTTTAACTTTGTAATCTTTATCCCTCTACCAGCTACTTAAGTAACACTGAAAATACAGAAAATCACTCTAAAGAGTCGTCTTCTTCCTGTTCTAATGATTGCACCATTTTGATTTTTTTTTTTCATTAAAAAAAAATCTGGACCATTCTGAACTTCTCATCATAAGTTCCAGAGCTTGTAAATAGTATTTCTCCTTCCTGTTGCCAGGTTTTGTTTTCATGTTGCTAATAACTGTTTGCTCCGTAAGGAACCAAAAATATTAAAGGACTTGGTTTTGTTGGTATTTTAGCATTGTGGTTAGTTTTCAGACAGTGTAACTGCAAAGCACAGTCTTGTTCAATAGCAATAAGCTTTCCAAGTTCATTTCTTTAACTTCAAGTTAAGCAACGGGACGTGGATGTGACTGTTCTTCATACTTGAGCACCTTGCATGTCTGCAGGGATTTGCCTTTTCCTAGTAGAGGTCTGCTTGCCACCAGCTCAGAGTACAAATTGAACTAATTTGACTAACATGCTCCTCTATTTGATGCAAGCCTGTATGTTGCCTCTTGCAGGGCTGTTTGTGCCTGCATGTGCACACTTGTGCTTGTGTTGGTGTTAGAGTAGCTGAAATTGAGATGTACTGGCAAAACTCTGTACGGAAGCATCTAGAGGGTTTGTTAGAGAAGTACCCATGCTGTCAGGGCAGATAAATTTAAATGGATTTCGTTGCAGAGAGTTATTTCTAAGCCATCCCTTTGGGCGTGCAGCAAAAATCAGTTTCTGCAGCTTGACATTTGCTTTCGATTGAAAGCAACTCTGCAGAGTAAATAAAAGTGCCTTCTAAAAGGCACCAAGAAAAACATGACAGAGCAGAAGGTATGAACTAGAATATTTGCCTTCAGCAGCTCTCCTTCCAACTGTTTGGTTAACTGTTTGTTCAAACTAGCATCTTGCCAGAGAAAAAGGTCTTGGGTCTCAGGCAAGTAGGTCACACATGTTTGAGTGCATCCCCTTTGCCCTCTTCTGCCCTGAAACAAAAGGAATTGAATCTACCCAAAACAAGCTTGTTTGTCTAATGGATTTTGTACAGTACATTGTCCCACTCTGTTTTGATATATAAATGGGGCAATGTATTTACAGAGGTAGACCCAGCATTTGTTGTTACACTGCAGCCATTCACCTTGCCATAAAGGCACCTGTCATTGGACACAATCGTGCAAACATGCCACTTCCCTGTTCTACCTCATTATCTGTAAAATCCTTCGAGATAATTAGGCTTATTATTTCATTTTAGGGGTGTTGTTACAGAACTGGAAGCTATATTGCAAGTGTCATGAAGTTCTCTAGAATAATTTTGCAAAATAAAATAGCTGAAGATGACATGGGGTTAGCTTTGAGGAACTAAACATAAAGCAACTTGACTATTTTCACCTGTAGTTTCAGACTGGGATGTCGCTTTTTAGTAGTTTTTAGCTCATTAAAATGCCTAGACAAGGGTGAGTGGTGAGAGACTGAGCATACGGCTTTTGTAAAGCAGGTGCTGCTCTGGACGCTGGGTCCAACAAAGCCATTTTGTATGCATTGTATACATTCAGGTCCTCTGCTGGACACTCATGTAAATAATCCTTCCAGTCTGTTCCTCCTGGAGCAGCACATCCTGTTTGTTGCCCTTACAGCTTGCTGACACTTTATGTCCAGTAGTGTTGATTCCTTTAGCAGGACTTTGCACGTACTGTGTAGTTGCCTTCATGTAGATGATGAATCAGCTTTTCAGCCTTCTGGAATACATAGCCAGCTATCTCTCTAGCAATACATAGGAACTGCTAGTGTTGGTGAATGCACACTGTAAGGGGTTCCTTTTCATTAAGGGCCAAATGAGAGTTCACCAGATAAGCACTTGGATTTATTTTGTATTGGCGGCAGCTGCTGCCTTGAAAGTGTCTCTTCCTCCTCACCTAGAGGTTATTACTGCACTGTGCTTTTTGTCAATAACTGATCTTGCCCTTTCAGTTGGAATAGGAGCCACCTTCTCTTTACTAGCACCTTTGTAGCCTGGACCTGCTGCATGACATTTCAGAAATATCGGCTCAAATATTTCCCTATGAATGATGGAGAGTTGCACTTTGGATAATGTTCAGTCTAGATGACCCCAAAGAAGGCCCACTGTGTGTCACGCGGGGAAGGTATTCAACTCTTAACCATATCTGTTCCTGCACCTGAAGGAAGTCTGTGGAAGAAATGTAGCCGGGCTTCTGTTGAAAGAGGCTGAATGTCAGTTTCAATTTCCCTAGCCTAACACACGTGCAGCTATGTTTCCATATCAATCCTGCCCCTCTTCAGAGGACCAAACCGCAAATCAGACCAGATCACATTTGCCTGCCTGCCTGCCTGCCTGCTGCTTACAGGTTGGGTTTGATGGTGTAGTTTTAGGTCAGAAATACTAGTTTCTGCTTGGGGGGAAGATGCTTTAGCTAGCCAGTTATCTCACTGAGAGTTACACCAGCAACTTGCCATGAACCCTTGGAGTGCACCTGAGTACACATTTTGCTGCTATTGGTATAAAAATGTGGAGGTGCAATCTGGGGGCATATGCTGCTCTGCACAAGTGCAAGGGAACCTGCTTTTATTGCTTGCTGTGAAAGGGTCACCACAGAATATTATGACCATTTGGGTTTAAAAGGAGAGACAAGCTTTGGTGGTTTCATGGACTGTTTTTGACTGTGGGGAGAGAGACTATAGGCCTATGTATTTTGCTTGTTTTACAGCAAGTCTGGAAAGAGTCATCCAAGTCAGGTTCAGACTTTGGTTGGTTGTATTTGTACTTACTATTGCATGCTTATCTCAGGAGCAAAATGTTGTTTTTTATACTTTGAAAAGTCTAGGTGCAGAATGGTCTCTATGAGAACTGCCAGAAAGGGAAGAAATGTTACTATGAGAGCAGGGAGCAGTACTGCACCCTACAAGAATGGTTCCTATCTGTCCATTTTGACTTGTCTGGGAGGGACGCAGCATTGCATTACAAACTTCTTGTATATTTTTCATCGTCTATTCCAGTGCCATTTTGTTGGGCCAAGTCAAGCTTTTGGGCATGAGAAATAACAGTATCTGTACTCCATACACTGCATCCCTAGCTCTCCTGTTGTGTATAAAAAGTCCTATGTGTATATAAATAAACTGCTAGACATTTAGCTGAGGGACAAGTGTCTTTTATGGGTCTCTTTCACTCCACCGAGCTTAATAACCTAGTTCACATTATTAATTGAATTTATATACCAACCTATACCCGGAGGTCTCAGGGCGGTTCACAGAATAAAATCAAAATGTAGAACCACAAAATACATAAGTGCATAGCCATCCCAGTATGGCTGGGTCCGGGGAGAACGGGTGCAAGATGGATGTGAATTTAACTGCCTATGGAACTGCATGAGATTACACACAACTATGAAATCTCTGGCTGGCTTTCTTTCACTTTAACATATTTTCTGTTTCTTCCTCCAGTTTTGTAAGACTTAAGGAGATTACTTCTAGGCACTAGTACTTGTTATTTTGACCTTGGGGAAAAATGTTATTTTAATGGGGCTCATCTCACACAAAGCTGAGTTAAAAATGGTTCACAAATTGCTTAATGTAAATATTTAGTCCATGTTCAACTGCAAATCCAGCCTTACTAAACTGAAGTTATGTTCGAGCAGTTCCCATTATTATTTCAAAACTTTAAAAAAAAGTTAGTCTGGAAACAAGCTTAATAAATGCATTTATTTAGCAACTCACACCATTAACATTCCTTTCTACTTTTGTGGCTGCATCAAGAGAAAGTGCTTTCAAATTAGGAGGAGAAAAGAACAAAGGATGTGACTAAAGGATGGAAGACGTGGGATAAATCAGCTAATGTTGAGCTATTCTGTGAAGCTGGACGCATTTCTCTGCTGTAGTAAGGGACTTTATGGAACTGCAAAAGCATATCCAGAAGAGTAGTCAGAAAGAGTTCAGCTGATGAAACCCCAGAAAGGAACATAAGATACAACTCATTCTTTTCTTGCACTAAATTATACAACATTTCAAATGGCAAGGTCCTCCAGATCCACTGGATGAGGCTACATCTAGCAGCTCTAAAAGGGGAAGGAAACCAACATGGGTGGATTCCTCATCTTTTTCTAGTAGCATCTTTGCACCAATCTGCATACAACAGTGCTATTCCTAAGAAATGTGCCAGGTTCTAGTGCTTGGAAAACTTGTGTGTAGGAGAAGAGGCTACTATAATAACAGCCATCCACCTGAAACAAAAACACAAACAGTAGTCAGTTTCTGGCAAAAACACTGCACTCGCTCAAGTTTAAAGAGTAGGAGCTGAGCATTCTCCCTTTCCCTTTGTGAATCTTTCCTTATAGTGATTCCTAGGAAGCTCAGTGACGTATTTCACAGCTATGCATGTTGCAACTTAAAGCCCAGCCAACATCAGAACTCCCTTCAATGAATACCTGCTGCACCTTACTTTTCTGGTAGAAAATAGAAACAGTTGTCAACTAACATTGAAATGCCTGATCTGCACTGCTGGCTGGTTTGAAGTATCTCCGCTAGCACCCACATTTACTGGACTTCTGAAAACTCTTGGTTAGCATTGGGGAACTCCTGAAAGGAAGAGACTGTTGTTGAGAAGGGCAGCAATGTATCTCCTACCTGGTTCAACTACCACCCCAACAGTTGATGTGTCTCACATTACTGCTATGATTCTGTTGAATATAGCATGTCACATGGGATGCAGTGTTCGGCTTCCTGAGAATGTTTTTTTTTCTTTCTTATAAGAGCAAATTTCCAACCCTTATGACTGTGAAGATAAAATACTCTGAAAGTGTGTGGGCAATGCCTGCAAAAATCTCAGAACTCAAGATTTCCAGTAGCTACAGGTTAAGGTTCCAGTAGATTGCATGGTTCCTTAGCCTACTTACAAAGTCAGGATACATTATGCAAAATAGAAAATATAAAGCAGCTTTTGAAAAATAAAATTTCATGCAAATATACATATTTTATGCAGGTTAAAAGATTTACCTTCTTGGGATGCTGAACTTTTTTTAGTGCAGAGTACTCACAGGCCTGCACACCATGCAGCCCATCAATAATGGTCAAGTCCAGACTAACAACTGAGCTATATGGCACACAGTTTTTTCTAGTCTTTCTACAGCTGGGGTCTCCAATTTGGTGCCCATGCCCCCCATATATTAAATGAGGGGGTTTTGCATTTTTGTTGTGAGGCCTGTTTTGCCTTATGTTCATCTGGGGACTGTGTAGGCTTTTTGCCTATTGCTGGGGGAGAAGTTTCTGAGCATTGCATGTTCTTCCACGCAATGGACATTTTGTGCCCACAAGTTTTTTAGATTTCCCTGGGTCCAGACATTTTGGGACCTCTTTTCTAAGCTAAGTGTCTTATTTTACTGACTCTACTTACCAAACAAAGGTTTCCTGGCCAGACTTTGGGTGATGGATGTGGGAGTCAGACAGAGAAACCTTTCTGCTAGTTCTACAGTGGGTTAAAAGACAAAACAAAGTTGGGGGGGGGAAGCCTCCTCTCCCCCCGCCCCTCGCCTTGGGTAGGTCAACAAACTACTGCCAATCTTCATCTTGACTTGCAGACCAGCTTGCCTGCATGGGAAAGGGATTTCCAGGCATGTGTCAAACAAAACCTGAACCTAATTTATGTATGTGCCCCTAAGATCAATGAGGGCTGCTTTGGAAATGATTTCGTAGAATCACAGAGTTGGAAGGGACCTCAGATGCCAACAAATCCAGCTTCCTTCTGTTGCAGGAAATCTACAAGTTTCCACTCGCAGACAGGCAGACACATACCTCCAAACCGCTTTCTTGTCTTTCCTAGTATCACAAATACATAAAAGTGGTATTGCTGGGTGCTCTGATGTAGCTGCTTGATGTTCCTGATGCCACTGCAAATCTTTGCTGATGCCATCCAGTGTGGGTAAGAGAGAGAGTTGGCCTGGCAACCATGGATCACAGCTAGGGATCTAGGTGTTGCAGAGAGAGACTAACATCAGCTAACCATCTTGGCTCCCTTTGAAGAATATTATATTTAGTCCCAGCCTCTGCTGTTAGTTCATTTGTCGTAAGACACAGGGAACACTGGCCCTGTGGATCTGGGAAAGAGTGCCTGAAGGAGATGGCAATGTACACACCTCTTGGTCTCCAGGGCAGAGCTGTAGCTCTTCAATACTGAAACGCAGCCATGTTGGAGAAGGCTGGCGCAGAATCAACCGCATGGCAATCGCCCGATCCACACTGCAAAGCATCTAAAAGAATTAATGTATGCTGTTAAAAAAATGAACACCTGCAACAACTGCTGACAAGACACTTGAAACAAGACACTTGAGTCATTGCAGGTGCTGGAGTTCCTTCTGTCCATTTATAAAGTGGTAAGAGTGCTGGACTAGGATTGTTCAAATCTGTACTCAGCCATAAGACTCACTGGGTTACCTTGGGAGAATGACTATTTCTCAGCATCCTCTACATCACAGAGGTGTTGTGAGGATGGAGAAAATGTTTTGCTTTATTAACTGCCCTAAGAGCACTTATGCTGGGGTGCAGAACGAATCACTTCATAAATAAATAGATGCATGGATAAGCCTTCAGACTAGTGCATAGTCCTAAGAGCTGTATCAGAAACCACCTGGCCTAATAAGTTACAAATGGTTGGCATTAATGGACAATATATTGTTCAAGAATAGAACTGGAAAACATTTTCAACTCTTGCTGTAAGTTGTATCTTCACCATTCCCTCAGAAGTTTTTCTTAAAGCTAAAGGGATGTAGGAGTAGCTACTAATGGCACTGGCTGTCCCCATCTACTAAGTAGTGTGGGGGAGGAGAGTGGGAAATCTGGACATAAACATTGCACTTATCCCATATTAATAATTAAACTGGTACTTTTTTTGAGGATGTTTAACGTACAGTTCCTATAAGTGTGGGGAACGAGAGCCAGCTGTAGTGAAAGTACAAAGGAACACAGGTTCAGAATAAAAGCTGCTTGGTAAGTAGTGCTCAAGGGGCTCAACTTTGCACTTTGCAATGAGCACGTGCTCCCAACTGCTCCACCTCTGTAACAGCCACAGCTGAGGCATCCTCCTGTAAAAGCACTGTCTTGAAAAGAGAGCTTCGTCAGATTTTAGATCTTGCATTTCAAGTGCAATATCAGTTACCACAGAGATTGCTCCCTAGAGAAAAAGAGACTGCAGTCTGCCAAGTGAGCTGTTTATAAATGAATAGAAAGGAAGCAATACACTGGCCTTTCACCTCCAGCTCCCAGTGGAGCCTGGTTATCCTAACCTGATTCCTAGAGAGACAGAAGTAATCCTGGGAGCCTTCCTCTGTGTGTGGGTTGGGCATCAGGCAATAATTACGTAAGCAAGTGACCCAGCTGGAGCGGCTTTTCCTTCCCTTGTTTGTGAAGTTTTGTTGCTGCATCCGCACAGTCAAGAAAGCTGTGTAATAATTCCTGAACACAATTTCCTGTAACTGAAAACAAGGCTGTCAGTTACTTACACAGCTCCCTCTGCATAAAATAATTATTAACAAGCAAGCAGCCTGTGCCTTACATTTGGAAAATCAAAACAGCAACCAACTGTGCAAAGAGTAACAGCAGAACTTGATGGAAATGCTTTTCTGCTGTAACTTCCATTCTACTGGGCTTAAAATGCTGAAAACCTGGGGGGCGGGTGCTAGAGGAGAAATATCCACCCTCCAGTCACCCCAAACATTCTATCCAGGACTTGTACCTTGAGAGAAAAGATGGGAGGGTAAGCAATAAGAGAACACAAGGTCAGCTACTTGAGGGCTTTTTGCTGCTGAAGCAATTTCAGAAAAATGTCGCTTGACAATTCTTAATGCTTATGTTGATGGTTGTTCAACTGAACCGGACAACTCTATGGAAGAGGACATTCCTGGGTCTACTATTTCAGGTAGGTTGGGTAATCTTTGCTGCATTCACAAGCCAGTAGCTGTAGTGGGTAAACTGTTTTTCTTAGGACAGGAGTGGCTAATCTTTATTTTCCCACAGGAGCTGAATTTACCCTCTGGCTGTTGGCCAGTAGTGGGTGTCATGAAAAGTAGATGTAGCCACCCCATAGTCTTGTACACATACTCTAGCATGCACACACACATTATACTAACAGACAGCTCCAGCAGATCCATGCAACTCAACTGAGAAAGGACATTATTGAAACCTCTCTGCACATTAAATAATAGATCTGATGACCAGGAAGATAGTAAAAAGTTCTGCAGGTCAGGGCGGTGGGTTAATTGTGGAGCTCGGTCATCCAGTTCTGCTTTGGAAAATAACCTGAATTTGATTTTGAAGTTCAGTATCCTGCTACTACCCTTTATCTTCTCATAGTCAAGTAAGTTTATCCACAACTGAATGATGGGTTGGAGATGGTTCTGAGAGATCAGCCTCTTGCATGAGATGTGTTATAAGGGGGGGGGGAAATGTAGTAGTAGTAATAATAATAGTAATTATTATTATTATTATTAATTGCCACAAGTGTGACTTGTCATTGTACCAACACTACTCTGCCAACAGATTAGGTAGCGGTGGGGAGACATGTTCTCAGTAATACTTCCTGTGCTTTGCTGATCTAATGTACACCCAACTGCTGTTTCCCCCCTGAACTTTAGCAGTGGAGTCACTGGGGGTGGGGGTCTTGTGCAAATCAGTGTCTCAACATCAATTCCACATCTACACTGCGAAAGGCAGGGACCAATTTCACAAGCTTATTAGGAAAATAAGGAGTGACAGGTATCACTCCTGAACATGGTCAGATTGAGTGCTATGAAGAAGGGAGGATGGAAGCATCTCTGTGTCCCTGAGGGCCTTCCTAAGTCATTTGCTGTAAAATACATCTGTTATGACATTTGCTCCACTCGCACTCCCCTGCCTGTATTGTGTTGTTTTTTTAATGACATTTCCCCCTTAATATTTTGTCACTGGGAAAATGAGGTTTCCTCTCCCTCTACTATCACCATTGAGTGCTGTGTAATATGCGGGGGTGGGGGGGCTGCTAAGATGAGCAGGGCCGTAAGCTTGATGAAAGAGAGCGAGAGAGAGACCACGTTTTGGGCGCAGAAGGTCCAGGATCCACTGGAATCTCCAACGGAAAACAACTTCAGCTTCTCGCTCCCTACTCAGGGACACGAGGGAAAGGTCGGACCAAGATGGGACTTCGGGAGGCTGAAGGCGCCCCTCGCACTTACGAAGAAGGGCCGGCGGCAAGGCAGCAGCACGTCGATCACTGACGCACCGGATCGCCAGGACCACATTTGCCCGTCTACCTGCGCGGCGACCGCGTTTCTGACCGTGCACTGAGCAGCCTCGCGCGCCATGTCCCCTGCGAAAGCCGCCTCGGCCCCGCTTCCTTCCTTCCCTCCTGTCTCGCCGCCTCCACGGCCAAAATGGCGGCAGCAGGCGCGCCTGCCCACCCAGTGGCCTCTTTGTGTGTGTGGGGGGGCGGGGGCTGCGTCCTTAAAACCCCTTCACTCTGGGGGTTGGGGGGGGAGCGTTCTGGGAGCGCGCGAAACTCTCGTCCACAAACGAGCCCTGATCTGGGAAAGGAGGACGTGACGCGAAGGCGTTCGAAATCTCCATGGAAACGACCGTGGTTCGGTCCTTTGTCCGGGAAGGGAGAGTAGGCCGGAAAGGCTATTGGAGGTTGCGGGGAATTCCCGCCCGCCTATCAGGTTGCGGTGTTCGAAGTGCGCATAGAAGTGCGGAAGCAGCGAGCCGGCGCTCCTTTTACCTGGGGGGAGGGGGAATGGGCGGAAGGATACAGCGCTATTCGAATTCTCAGCACAGTACAGTAAATACGGCTTGAATTGCGCTCTTTAAAGCGGCATTTTATGAGGAGAGTTTATTCGTTTACTCAGGAGAATGTATAAACCGCTTAATAATAATATAAATCCTCTAAGCGGTGGACATAAAAACAAAAAGACTTATCAATGAAAAACAGATAAAATAAGCAAATATATGTGCTTGGATAGGCTTTCACATACTAGCGTGTGTTACACAGTTACTGAGTTCAGTGTTGGGGTAATTTATTTTGGAAGGTGGCTTTTTGGGGAATTTTTTAGTCACACAAAACAACCCTCACTCGCAAATCTTGCCCCACCCCATTCTAACTGGGCAGTGGCAGTCTCTGCTCCTGCACACAGGTTTTTTGTGTGCTTTCCTGGCTGCTAAAGGATCCTTGAGAATTCTCTGCTTGAGACTGTGGAAATCTATGCAGAACGAACAGTTCTGGACAGCAGACCAATGGCCTGAATGAACCTAAAGACAGTTTTATAGAAAGTAGGGTTATGGCACAATCTGTCAACCTTTAACATGGTGCAAAACTCACTGCTGTTGCCGCTTTGGTTCCACTAACATGGCTACTGGAATGTGTCACTGAAGTACTGTGGACTGTTCTTTCAATCCCAGGAAAGGCTGGCAGTGAAGCTGAATCAGGAGGAGAAGGAGGAAGGAAAGCATGTTAAGTATTTGTGTAGGAGGAGGGAAAAAGAACTTCCCAGAGATGTCTGCTTTGTTAAAGGCCAACTAGACATTGCAGTCCTTCAGCTGGCACAGTAATTTGCGCTTCTGAAACCCAAAGCACCTTATTTCAAAGATGATGAGATACATTAGACTACTGCAATGCACTTTGCATGGGGCTACACTTGAAAAAGTGTCTGGAAACAACTTTAGTGCAGATTGCCACTGCCTGGCTGTTGTGTGGAATAGTAAGCGGGGAATCGTATCAACCCCATTCTCAGAGCTGGCTGTTGGTTAAAGGGATCATGACTAGTGTACAACACTCTACATTACTTGGGACTAAAGTACTTGAAGGAGTAAAATCCAGCCCAGAGTTTGCAATCAGAGGAAGAGGCCCTGTTCACTATCCCATCGGTGAGAGTGACAAGGAGGATAGCAGAATGAGCAGGGTGCTCCTGATGGCGGTGCCCTGTTTATGGAACGCCCTCCCAGGGGAAATCAGGCAAGCCCCCACTCTGGTCACAATCACATGAATTTTAAAAACTTTTTATTTGCCCAGACCTTTCAGAGGTAGTTTTATGATACATTTTTGCATTGAAAGTATTAACAGACGTCGTTTAATGCTGTTTTGATTTTTAACTTTTATTATGATTCATATTTTTATGCCATTAGTTGTCTTGGGCTCCCTTTTGGGAGGAAGAACTGACTATAAATTTGATGAAGTAAAATTACACTTTATTCCCAGTTAACTAAACACTGCTTAATAGAACATCATATGTAATAAATAGGGGCCCTGATCCATCTAGGACAGGGTTGAAGAACCCCAGGAGCAGAACATGGCCCTCTAAGTTTGTCTGGTCCTTGTGAATCTCCTAAGGCTACAACCCCTTCCCAGCCACAGCTACAACTGTGCCAGCTTTGCATCTCCCTTGAGTGGTTTTGCTTGGCTGGAATGTGTCCTTGAACACATGATAATCATGAGCATAACCAGGATTTTTGTGGGGGGGGCAGACTTTTGTTAGGTGGCACAACCACATATTTTTATTGATTTGTAGTCATTTTTAGTGATGGGGGCGGTTCCCCCCATCCCCCCCTTGGCTATGACCATGCTGATAATGCATCTTGCTCGCTTAGATGGAAGACAGAAGTGTGTGTGTGATTGTACATAGAAACTAGCCTGTGGTAAAAAGATAATGTTTACATTCATTGCTCTACCCCATTTGCCTCTGCGCCTCATGTAGCACTGTTGTGTGTGCCCCCGCCCCACCAAGTTGCCCAGAAGGGAATGTGACTCTGCAGCTGAAAATGGTTCTCCACCTCTGATCTAGGAGTTGATGGTTTTCAGAAGCATCAATTACTGCAGTTTTGCCAAGCGGATGAGAAATGGGTGCCATGTGCACAAGTACCCATGCTGATTTAGCAGCCAGGGCTTTTTTCTTGTTTTGTTTTGAAGCTGACAAAAATTGTCCTGAACCCCTGGCAGCAAGTCAGTATGTCAAGTCCAAGGTCCAAAGGTCAGGAAATGCAGTCCAGGGTCAATCCAAGGAGGCCAAGTCTGAAGTCCAGCAGTCAGGATACAGTCCAGAGTCAAAGCACAATCCCATAGAGGCCTATAAAAATGGGCAGTTGAGCAGACACAGCACCTCAGCTCTGCTTGCTTTTTGTACTTTACATGCTGATTGCAGCACCTGGCTTGATGAGGCAAGCGACCTTCACCTGTTCCAAGCCTATTCCAACTGATGAATAACACACCTCCTCCCAGAGCTAGCGAGCCCCACCTGGCAGCCCTTGCCTGCCTCAGCCTTCTGGAGTGCCACTCTTGCTGCTCCCTATTCCTCAGAGCCCACCGTATTCGTGAAGACTGGGGCCCCTCTGGCTCTGGTGATGGGTTCTGCTGCTCTGGTTCCTGTGCATTGACTTCAGCATCCTTCATCAACCGGTGAGTACTTACTTCCCCATCCCCTGCTTGCCCTGGTGTGTCCCAGCCCCAGCTACACCCCTTACCAGGGTCCTCTTCTTCCTCCTTGTCCTGCCAGTTTATGACAAAAATGTTCAAAGAGGGGTGTGAGGGCTAACTTTAGTCCCCTTCCCTACCAAACCAGCTCTGCAGCTCCCCCCCCTTTTTTTAAAGGACACTGTTGGAATAGAACTCATTTCTTAAATAAGCTTAAAAACATGCTGAATGGATGGTGATTGTGGTTGATGGCAACCACTAGCTTAAAGATGTTGCTGTAAATTTTCAAAGTGCTTACCCTTCTACTGTAGGCACATTTCAGTCCAGTAGTCAAATCAGTTATTTATGGAGGCTCTGAAGGGTGGAATGGAAGGGAGTGCAGCTTGTTCTTATACTTTCTGGGTGGCATGAACTGTCATTAGTGTGAGATGATGATGATGATGATGATTTTATTTATTATTATTTATATTAAATTTCTATCCTGCCTGTCCTCCAAAAGGAGCTCAGGATGGCAAACAACAAGTGATAAAACAGTATGAATATTTTCAAAACAATTCCAATACAGATGTAGACTGGGAAAGACCTCCACTTAAAGGCTTGTTGAAAAAAGAAAGTCAGGCATCAAAGAGACAACAATGACTACACCTGTCTAATAACCAAGGGGAAGAAATTTCAAAGGGAGTTGACTTTTGATTGCTAAGTGCAGTACCAGGCTTTCTCAAAAGAGGTCACCCTTTCCCCAAAGATGCCACTGCAGGGATGAATTCCAGAGGTGCTAAGTGTGTTGCAGCAAAGCCAGCAAAGAGTTTTGTGGCACTGTGAAAACTAACAAATGGATATTGGTGCAAGTGTGTATGGGTCAGAGCCCAGTTCTTCAGATGTATAACCTCATTGGATAGGTAGGTTTCCTCAAACATCAAGTGGAGATATTTTTAAGTGAGACCCACGTGCTAACCTCTCTTCTCTCTTTGGCGATCACTGGTAGCAGAGTAAGATAGTCTTCCATGAACACAGTCTGTAAGTGACTGTGGAGGCCAGTTCTGGATCCACACGTCCTTCCACAGTGGGGACATAGGTTTCCAGGCAGGAGTTGATCATGGTGAGAGTTTGCCAAACACGCCTTCCTCTTAGCTTGTTTCTCCTTTTTGCCCTGCGTTTGTGCTTCTTCAAAGTCCACAACACCTTTGGTAAAGGCTGTTCTCCAGTTGGAGCACTCACAGGCCAGTGTTTCCCAGCTATCAGGGCTTATACTACATTTCCCCCCCAATTTGCCTTGAGAGTGTCTTTAAACCTCTTTTGTTGTCCATTGGTATTTCACTTTCCATTCTTAAGCTGGGAATAGAGTAGTTGCTTTGGAAGACGATAATCAGGCATCTGAACTACTTTCATCTGGTTTATGAATAGACAAAGCTGTATCATTAGTGTGCAGAAATACCTAAAGAGTGACAATTACTTTCTGAAGTGAGCTAAATCACTCCTGTTCTTGTGCTAGGAGTAAGCCTACTTTCATAAAGACTTCCATATATCCAAAAACTTGAAGTTGGTGGCAGCGCAGGGCATCTACTTACTTCTGGGTGCAAATCGCTTCCCATATCTAAAGGAATACACATGGGTATAGCCTTACGTTTTTTGCAGTTCAGTGATTTTTCAGTTTGGCAGTTAGTAGCTTTCTAATAATTTGTGTCTATCACATCATTTTATTGTTTTATTTGGTTACAATGTGGCCAGTGACGTTATTCACCTTGATATTGTACTGTTGGATAAAGTTTATTTCCCCGCCCGCACTTGAACAAAGCCAGCTCACACATGCATGTATCTATCATGTGACTGCTTAGCACTCAGCCAATCACAGTTTAATATATCAACTGACTCTACTGAAAAGCAGTGTGTTTGAGGAAATGTAAAGTGGTATGAAAGTCCTGTCTGTGGCGATTGATCTATAATGGCTCGTGCATACATGCCAAATAGTCTGAAGCTGTTGTTGAGCAAAGAAGATTCATGTGTGAAGTACATTTTAAGCTCAATATTTAGCTTTTGTTAGTTTGGTCATATCCACTTTAGAACACTTATCCTCCTGATTCAGCTATCCTACTCTTGTGGTAGGGCATGAGTGGGGAATCTGTGGTTGAATTTACACCCATAAGCGAGAGTCAGCAGGAATGGTCAAGGATGATGGGAGTTGTAGTCCAACAACATAATGAGAGCCATAGTGCACAGTATCATATGGAACTGTTCTTCTGCAAATGTCATTGCCTATG